GACTCTTAGATTACCTTTCTCCCCTTGAGCTGGCTGTCTGCCCACCTCAAACCACTCCCCGAAGCTACCTCTGCATCTTGAGGAGCACAGGGCTGGAATGGGCTACAGGCCAGCGGCATTGCTAAGGGAGATGCTGTTTGCCTCTCCTTGCCCCTGCCACTTACCCCATGGGCACACCGGGCAGACACAACACAGTTGCTGAGGGCAAGAGCCTTCAGGGGCGTGGGGAGCTGGTTGCATGGAGGATACACAGAAATGGGGGAGAAACTGGTCTCACGGGAGGAGTTGGGTGTGATCCAGGTCAGACAAAGTCCGCCCAACCCAGCTGGCAGCGACTGTGGCTGTGTGGCCAGAGCCCCCGGAGTGGTCCTGCCACGCATTTAATTTAAGGAGCGATGGAAACCAGCCACAAAAATAGTTCACGTTTCTGTGCAATGTCTTTGTGGCTGGTTTCCAACCAATCCCCTGAGCGCGTGGCCGGGTTATCATTTGGGATGTGATGAATAGACTAATTGTGCCTCAAGTGTAATGTCTGCCAGAGCCAAAGAGGCTAAGGTGGAGTGACAAACCTGAGCAGCTACCCCAGTACCGCCACCACGGGTCAGTCACGTCCAACTGGTCTAATAGCACCATGCCTCTGCTGGCCCACGGGCACCATCCCTGGGGAATACAGCCGACAAAGGGGAGAGGGTGGACTGGGGTTTGCCCCATCTTCCCAAGAGGTATGAATGGCTTTCTCCTGTACTGATAGACCCCCCCCAAGCCTGCCGCTAACTGCTCCCGACTTTCTCATGGCAGTCACTGCTCATCCTGACTGCGCTGCAGCCCTCCATCTTCAGCATCTTGGCCAACGGTGGCCAGATCGCCTGCGCCCCGCCGTTCTCCTCCAAGGCCAGATCCCAGCGTGAGTAGGGGGCAGGACCAGGCAGAGTGCGAAACCCAGCTGCTTGCAGCAGGGAAACAAGGGAGCGAATGTCTGGTGCTCCAAGCACCTCCCTAGCCCCGTGAAGGAAAGTTTTATCTCCCCCACTCAAACTACTGCCTGGCTGAGACATGCCATTGACCCCTTTTTTTTTAACCTTTGCTTTGCAGATATGAACATGCAGCTGCTGGTCCTGCAGACCTTCCTCATGACGGTGCTGACGCGGATGTACTACCGAAAGAGGGACGACAAGCCGGGCTACGAGACTTTTGGCCCTGCGGAGGCAGACGGCGACATCAAAGTCTAAGCCAGAAGTGCATGTGAACTTGTGAAAGGCAGGAGAGCCTATGGCATGAGGTGTGCCGACCTGAATGCCCCCTCTGCAGGGTCCCTGCAACCCAGGCCCTATTTCCCCCAGAACTGGCCTGACGCCCTCATGGGAGGGGGATGCAGAGTCTGCGCTGATACAGAAACACCTGAAACCCGGAGGGCTTGAACCAAGGCTCTTCTGGTCTCAGCTGGGGCTTTATGCGTAATGTGCCTTGCGCACACCGTCACTGAGCACAGAATAAAAGGGCTTTGGCACTTCTGCTATGGTCATCAGTGTTGCTTCCTGGAGTCACTTAATGAGCCCCTTGCGGCACAGCTCAGTCGTGAGGTCCCAGGGATGCCTCAGCTCCCCTGTCTGGGGATATTATAAGGCTATGACCACATGGATTAGTAGCAAGCCAGCGAGGCAGCACTGACCACACAGCAGCTGCTCACGTGTGTCCGCTCTGACCTGCAGTAAGTTAAATGCCAGAATGGAAGAGGGATAAATGAAGCAGCAAGGGATACGTTGCTGTGGTTTAGCCTCTGCTTAATGTGGGGTAGGAGCAGACACACTCAATAGCTAATGGTGAGCAGATGAAATGCAGTCGCTTCCCCATCGGCTCCATCTGTCCAGCTCCTTTTACAGTACACAGGACAATCCATGCCCTACACGGTTGGTGGGAGGCTGAACAAAACCAGTGCAGGCCCAGTCCAGCCCATTAGGAACCAGCGTTACCAGCTGCCCTGCTGTGAACAGTGAAGACACAAACATCTGCCACTGCCCTGGAATTAGTCACCCAGGGAGCCCCACCTGCTTCAGCAACGTGGGCCTTCCTGGAGGCGACTGGCGAGCTCTCTCAGCGTGCAGAGTCAGCGGCAAAGCCGAGAAGAACCAGAGCCCCTGGGCTGTAGCAGGTGTTTTCCGCTGGCCGCATTTCAGCACGTGACACAGAAGGCACGTTCCCTCTGCTTTGTGGAACGTGCCAGCAGTCTGGGACTAAATCAGACCCCCCAGGGACCCCAAACCCCTGGACAGCAGCAGGAGGGAGGAAACTGGTAATAAATAAATAAATAAATAAATAAAGTGTCATTAACTCAGTTCTTGGTCAATCCCAGCTTTGCACCTAGGAGGGGCAAGGCTATGGAAAGCTAGGGCTGACAGGCCCTTGTTAAAGGGTTGCAGAAGACAGCAAAACCGTGACCACTGAGGAAGCTGAAGGAGGTGTCAGAGGCGGAGGGGTTGGGTAAAATTACTTTTGTGTTTATTGGGCTAAACATAAAAGTCAGAAACCAACTCAAGAACAAGCCAGTGATGCACACATGGAAACCGAGACGGTGAACACTGATTGAGAAAGGGATGCCCCCCGGCTGTGGAAACGTGACTGGCAAGAGAAGCCACCCACCCCTCTCGTGTGGACCCAGCGTGGCAGCAGACCTCAGCTAGGCTGCCAAAACCCGTGAGGGTCTCCAGCACTGGGATCCCCAGGCGGTTTAATCCACATTGCCTCCTGGCTCCCCTGTGATGGCGATGCTTCAGTGAGCGGAGGTGAAGTTAAAGAACAACAATTCAGAACTTAAAATGTGGATGCCAACACATCCCTCCATCCCTTTTGTGCATTTTGGAAACCTCCCCCCCTAAAACTAAACCAATGAGTGCTCTCAGAGAAGAAAACCAAACCGTTGCTCTGACACCTTGCAAGCGGCTGTATTTTGGAGAGCCTGTTTGGTTCACTGGAAAAAGACAAAACCTGGGACAAACCATAATCCCACTGTGATTAGTTACAAGATTGTCCAGTTCCACGCAGTTCGTGAGACTCCTACGATGATGCGTTGCTGGAGGTGTTCCCAACAGATGCAGCTTTTGAGGACATGAGCAGCGGCACTGGGGAATGGGACTGCATGCATCTGAGAAAGCTCTTTATCTGTGCACTGAGCTGAATGAGGCACAAGCAAGGCCTGGGTGGCCGCGTTCAAAGGCAGTACGTCCAGCGAGAAAGTCTCCTGCACTGACAAGCAAGGGATGCATCCGGGCTCCCCACAGAACAATTCCCCCTTGTGCATGTTCCAGATATACCAGGACGAAGGGGACAGTCACCGAGGAGGAGGGAGAAAAATGCACCCTGGAACATAAACCCTATTGACGGGTGCTTGGAGGAAAAGGGGATGGAGCCTCCCAGGGCTCGGGTCTGGGGTCACTGTGAGGGATTAACGGAGGACAGATGTATTCTGCTTCCTCTCACCCAGCTTACAGAGCCTTCTTCTGAAACCCAACCTACACGCCACTGGGTGTCAAAACATCACAGCTGTACAGCTGAAGCAATTTTGCCTTCAGTTCAGTTCAATCATCTACTGTTCTTGCCGCGGCCATCCTCCCTGCCCACCTGAAAACGCTTTGCGAGGGTTTGCTTTCAAAGCTGACAGCACTGGGGTGCAGATCAGGGCTGGCCCGATGCTGTCCTCTTGTGCTGTTGCAGCAAGGGACTCCTATGGATGACATGGCACTACTTTCCATCTGAATACTGCAGAGGCGCCCGGGAGGTGGCTCTCCACTGCAGGGCACCAGTCTGGAGCCGCCTTCTTCTCCTTTGCCACTCTGTAGTATTTGGCTGACCAGCCTCGTGTGACAAGCTGTGGAAGAGGCCGCGTGCGGTCAAGGTAGAGCTTGAACGGTGCTGAACAAACTGCACGAGGTAACACAGTGGGAAACCCAGCCTGTCTCTTCTGCAGCTCAGTGCATTGCAGGTTTTGCCACAGCGAGAGTGTTGCCTCTGCCCGTCTCACAGCACCAGACACGAAAGGTGCCAGGCAAATGGTGAGATGATGCCATTTCAGTACATGCCACATTAAGCATGGGGAGCTGAGTGTCCATCTCCATGTGCAAAGTGCAAGGGGGAAATGAGGGGTGTTGGCGACCAATGGCTTTGCTAAATCCAGCTCTGTGCGGATCCTGGGCACACAAGGCCTTGCAGAGGCCAGGACGCTGGTGGGCTGCCTTGGGAGCAGGCCAACATCAGAAACAGTCACTAGTAGTGAAAGAATACTGCTGCTCACCCTGTGCCTAGCGATGGCCAGGCCCTAAGCTGCCCACCCCCCGAATTGTGCGATCAGCTGGGGATATCACCTATGGGCTCTAGTGTCTACTAAGGGGGGGTGGGGAATACGTCGACATTAAACACCCTGTGCTCTTCGGTCACGCAGATACCGAAGAATGAAAAGTAACGTGCTTCCTTCCATCTTGTGGCTGGAAACGAAACAACGGTTCCGCTGCAGCAGCTCAGCACGTGCCCAAGCGCAAAATCCAGCTGGTGTTTCAGGCAGCCAAAAGCTTTCCCTTGCTTCAGTGGAACTACATGATGAAGGTGCACACATGCATGTGTCTGACCCAACACGGTGGGGAGGAACCGTCCATAAACAGCCTCCACAACAGCAGCATGAAGAACAGCTTGACGGATGGAAGAAGGGTGGCCCCTTTGAAGATGAGGATGGTCAGGTTCAACAGAAGCCTCTTTCTGCGGACAATGGCTCTAGTGTCTGTCTGTCACTTCCTTGGACCAGACACCCCACATTTGGAGAACGCCTGTCCATTAGCTCTTGAGACTCTGCCCTGGCCTCATCATCAGCTCCCCAGCACCAGGGCACTCTGCTCAGGGGACTCTTTCTGAATGGGAGACGCTAGGACAAACACCAGCAGAAAAAAACCACACACGTGGGAGATTCACAGCCGACTCTGCTCTGTCCAGACGGCTCCTGGTTTAGAGAGAAGCCTGCTGGGACCACGACCTGCCTGCCCAAGTCACCCCCGTGGGAGCTCGCAGATGGCACCGCTACGGATGCTGCTAAGTAGCAAGGGACATTCAAAGCTCAACACAGACGTTTATTATGGACTTGATGGCAATACGTCACGGGACCAGACTGGGCAGCGAGCAGGTTGGGGCCAAGCAATTAAAACCCGAAGAGGAGTGGTTTGCTCTGAGGCTATTTCAGGGCCCCTCCAAAGCAGTCGGGAGGCCACGCACCTGTATTTAAGGTGCAGCTGATTTAACACTGATACGAAGCTGCCAGCCCAAGGGCTTTTTTACAGTTGTGGCTTCATCACAGGGGTATGAAAGATGGATCCCTGCCTCTCTGCATGCGGTAATTTAAACACACAGACACACGAGGGAGGGGGGAAGGCAGAAGCAAACAGCTTGCATCTTCTAGCTGGGCTCACACATGCACAAGACGACACAGCGGGTGTCCTGGAAAAAAAATTAATGCTCTTCTCACAACGGCTGGGCAGGGGTGAGAAAAAGTTCTTAGCTTGGGATTCAGCAATCCTTCCAGAGACATGCCTGATTAAACAATCCCTGAAGGCCTTTCCCCCTGGCTTCGGCAGCCAGCCTTTGAACAGCGAATGCTGCACTAACTAGGTTTGTGCTATGCTACAGAGTGTGCGGCCACATCTGTCCTGCAGCGTCTTCTAACCTGGCGCTGTCCCCACACAAGAGGCACCGCAAGAGCGCTCAGACCTCTGTGCCATGTGACTAGGACAGGCTGGGAACCACAGCTAAGAGAAGCAAGAGCTTTTCTGAGATCTGGGGAGTTCCTGGCACAGCACAGACATCTCTACACAATTAAAAAAAGAGAGCATTTCCCCCACACTCCTGCTCTTGGCACTGTCTCCCAGGCTGAGGAGTGCGGACAGCCACGACCCAATGGACTCAGCAGCCAGGCCGGCTGCTACCCGGGGGGCAACAGAAGACTGCGGTGGGTCAGAGAAGAGACCCCAGCTCTTCTCCCCATGCCTGCCGCATCCAGCAGAGGTTAACAGGGGCAAGCCCTAGAGCCAGCCTGTGATTAAAAGAATACCCTTATTTTTTTCTCTTTAAATAAAATCTTTCCCCCTGGAAACCGCTGGGACGTAAACAATAAAAAGGGGTGTGGGGAGGTGAGAATGTGCTTCCAGGGCAGTAGCCCTTTCTCAGAGCAGGCAAAGCCCCCACCTGCCATCAGCCTCGCCTGTGCCTATCGTGCTCCTGCTCAGCTGTGAAGCCCCCGTCGGGGTTAGAGTTGGGATCGGATGAGGCATGACGGGCAGTCAGCCCCCGCCGGCCACTTAATCCTCCTCGTCCTCGCTGATGTCATAGGTAATGGTGGCCTCGTTCCTGGTGCGGTTGGCCGGTGAGGCCGGCGGGGTCTTGGCGGAGAAGGGCCAGCGGAAGGAGGGGGACGGGGACCGGTCGTGTGTTGGGCTGCTACTGGGGCTCTGCCGGGGGCTGATGGCCTGCAGCATCCGGCCCTTGCCTTCCTTCAGCATGTGTTTCTGGGGAGAGGAGGCACACAGGAGCAAGGTTACAGATGTGGGTTGGAGGTGTCATGCCACGAAAGACAGCTTGTGTGCCATGCCGGGAGCTGCCCTGTCCCACCACAATGTTAGGCTGCAATAGGAAGACTATGCAAGACCCTCAGTGGGGCTGTGGCCCTGAGGACGTTTTATACAGGACAACTCCTTTGAAGCAGACTGCTCCTGGCAAGCATTGGTGGCATGCAGCTGGACCCCTATGGCGCCAGGTACCTGTACATAAAAATCTCGCCTCTACGCCTTCAGTTCAAGCCCACTCAGGGACAGCAGTGATGGGAAGTTACCACAAGAACTGGAGCCTCAGTGGTCATCTCCCTAGTGTCCAGGAATCTGTAAGCGTCCCCATTGAAGGTGGGTGCTGGGCATAACTGGGGACAGAGGCCTACACGATACCTGGGATGGGTTAACTGTAGGTCACTGCTCTGCCAAGCTGTGGTCTGAGAAGCACTATGACCAGCCAGAGAGCCATCTGCCATTCTAACCCCTCCCCTTCCCCCATCCCCATCCCCCCGCAGCCTCCCATCCTTATTACCAGTGCTCCTTCAGGGCCAAACATCTCCAGGAAGTTGCCAATGAACTCCCGGGACTTCTCCTCCCATTTCTGAATGAGGTCGATGCTCTTCTCCTCCACCTTCTGCACAAACTCCTTGGATTTCTCCTCCACGTCCTTCACCCGCTTCTTCACCTTGTCCACACGCTCCTGCAGGTGGTACTTCTTCTCCTGCGGATGCAAGCAGGGGCATTAGGAAAATTAGCAATTACATTTCCCCACACACCATTCTGCAAGGGAACTGTCACTCGGACCTAGAGCGCCTGGGCTTGTTCAATAGTGGCTCCTGGATCTCAGTCTTTCCTCCTCTTCAACTGGTTCCTTCCTTACCCTACAGGGCAGCTGCAGAGTAAGTCTGAAAGACTCTGGAAACGCCAGTCCCAGAGAAAGCAGAGGAGACCTGCAGAGCAGTTTAGAGTCTAAGGTAAATCAAGGTCTGTGAGCAACAAATGAGGTGGCAAATACAGACTTTGTGACATCTGAATCAGAATGTACCGCCGATGGTATCTGCCAGAAGGGGCAAACAGAACTACTTTGGCACCCTCCAGCTCTGTGTTTCTATATCAGATTGTCTCCATATACGAGATGGAGCCAGAACGGTCCAGTCACTGGAAAGGAAACACACAACCTACCACTTGACTACCCAGCCCTGCTGGTTGATAGAGAAGTTAGTCAGTACAGACTCAGCCTCGCCCACCCCTTCAGAGCTGGGCTGGTCCTGCAGGACTAAGAGGGGGAATGGTTGTGACTGCAGAAGCAAGCAGATCCTGTTCCTGCCCTGGGGAATAACACACTGCTGGTTTCCCTTGTCAGGATTGAACCAGGTGAAAGCCATGTGCTGGCAACAACAAAACAGCCCCCTGGGAGGTGCTTCCCTTCCCTCACAGCTCCAGGGGACTCAACACCCATACAGCTCCCAGCTGCGAATAAACAGATGAAGCTTCAATCAAATATGCAAGCTCCATTTTCCTTGGCACAGGCATGAAGCCAGTACCTGTTTTATGCAGCCACATTTCTCAGGGAATGAAAGCAGTGCCGTGATCTCAGTTATTTCCACTCCTCCCCTTAACCAGAAGCTCTCTCTCCTACGCTGACTTTCCAAGGGGACAAAATCAGAGGTGTTACAGCATGAAAAAACCCACAAGGGCCCTGGAGAAGATGGACTCTTTAGCTTGGTGGACTTACTGCAGTTCCCTTGGACTGGAACAGTGCCTGCAGGGCACAACAGGATATGGCTCCCACTAAGTTCCATGCTACTCAAAGGCGCAGCCAGAGACAGCCTTTGATCTGGGGCAGCCCACGCTGAAATGTGCCCTGACTCACATTGATAAAGCTGACGTTGAGCTCCTTGGCCGTGTAGCCCCTCTGCAGGTTCCGCCGGGCATAGACATCATAGTCCCGCACGATACGGGTGATGATATCCGATGTGGAGATCCCCTCCGTCCTTTGGGTGGGAGCAAACATGCCTACGCCAGGGAGACAGAACCCAGGACAGCTGGAGCTCAGGGGGCAGCCACGACGGACTGCTGCAGCATTTCACAGACTCTCACTTTTATCACCCTCTTTAACTGCTCATTTTCCAGTTGGCCTTTTACTTATTACCCATCCCCAAGCCTGGGATTCAAACTTCTAGGAGGCAACTAAAAAGACAGAGCGGGCTTCACAGGGTCACAAAAATGAGCAAAGGATGGGAAAATCTGCCTCAGAGAAAGGCTCCAGGGCTCAAGCTATTTCAGCTCATCCACGAGCATGGCATCTGTGTGTGCAGGTGTATGAAATCTGGTTGCAGTTTATCAGAACCTATATGGGGAAGAAACCTTTGATCACAGGTTGTTGGACCTTTGGCTGCTAGGTGCAAATACCACATCTCTCATACTACACGGCCCAGAATATAATATTCACCTTGCTTTTGAAAGGCAGAATGAAGGAAAGAAAATATTTTTCCAAGTTAAGGCTGCATGGAGCACAGACAGAGCCTAATCTTCAGCTGACACACCCTCCCCTTTTTTGCTTAACTAAAGCTGAAACCCTAGCTGCTGCTGATGACTGGTCTCCATAGATGGACCTATGACTTTGAAAAAACCTGAAAGAATCTCCAAGGCTGAAATAAGAGAGAGAGACCAGAAGCAGCTGGAGGCAGGAATGGACTCAGGGCTGTCCTAGGGACTCTGCTATGCTGCAGGGATGACTGGATAACCATCAATGGACCCTTCTGGATTTTAAGGCTATGGAAATCAGCTCAGTAATAGCCCTGGGCCCCACTCCAAAACTGCCCTGGCAGACCTCTCCTTCTGCAGAGTTCCACTAAGTCTATGGTGCTTACAACAGCATGAGGATTGGTCCATGATAGGGCCACGGTCACAGACTGCAAGCAGAAGGTGACTTTTCACTGGCTTTCTCCTACTGGGGGAATGGGACTTGCATATGCATGCAGGTTCTCCCTTTATGGTGCTGTTAAGGCTGATGTCTTCAGACAGCCCTCGATGGTCTGGCAGAAATCTGCCCGCAACCCTGCAGGACCACGCATGCCGACGTAAGGATCCATCTGGCTGCAGCTAATGCTCTGTGCTCCTTTCTGCAAAAAAAGGTTCCCCTGCTTAATGGGCAGCCAGTCAGCCACTGGGCCTGCGCGTGTGGCAAGTAGCATGCCTAGAAAGGGATCTTGGATTCTACACCTCTCAAAACACAGTGCTTATTTAGTATTAGGCTGATTGCAAAGATGGGCTCTGAATATGAAGGCACTTTTGTACCAAGGATGGGAATCGGGGAAGGGGAACTTTCAGTTCAAAGGGCATTTTGTGCAGGGCTGTTGCAAGCGGGCCTGGGCTTTGCTTGGTTCTCTTTGCTGCTATCAGAGATGTCTTTTAATGGAGGCTTCTCCTGCACTGACCTCACGGATGCCGATCTGTTAAGGGACAAAAGACGACAGACTGAACGTAAGAGGAAAGCACCTTTGTCTGAGCTATGTCACTATGGCAGAGTGAGAAGGTCCCACAATGTAAGAGGGAAAAGTTCCATTTAAACTCAATAGGTACAAAAGCCAGATCCTCCTTTTGACCATCCTCAACCAAGAGATGAGGAAGACTGGTTATCTCTAGACCATGGCAAAATGGACAAGACCCACGCATACAACAACGGGCTGCTCATTTTGTTCTCAGCTGAACAGTAGAACCTGGATTTTTTTATACCTGGGTTGTTTGCAAACTGCTTCATTTGACAAATTAAGGATGAGCTGCTTGGCCACTAGCTGCAGGTTTTACTTCAAAGGGCATCACTTCTCCCATCAGCTGGAGACCAGTGGTGGGAAGAGGCACCCGTGGAAATACAAGCCGCAGCCAAGAGCTATGGCACCTCCACAGTCCCAGATGGGATGTTGCTGCAGCTACATCTACCCCAACTACTTTGCAAACCCCCAAGTTCATGGCAGGGGCCAGGAACCTACCTTAGTGAAGGATCCAGGGGATCCTGGATCTACTAAATCTCAGGCATGCAGACCTTACCCATGGGATATGCTAAGTGCAGCATTTCAGGGCTAAATGGGGAGGCCTGGTGAGAAGAGTGCTGGGCTGTAGCCAGGGAGAGCAAAGACTTTTGGTTTCTCAGTGTGTCACTGCATGGGCTTCCTCCTCACTGCCCTGGAAAGGAGCACCTGACATGGCCCTAGCAATGACAGCAGTGGAGGAGCCTAGGGAAAGGTGATCTCAGCCATTCGTGCCATGCTTGGCAGTAGTGGGCACTAGTTATAGCAGTGCTTTCCAGGAACAGGTGCCAACAGTGACCGGTCAGTGCTGTGTCTTAGGGCTCACCTGCGTCTTTGATGTGCTTGTAGACATCATCGCTGCCAGCGGAGGAATACGGGATGTCGTCATGGGCAACAAAATCGATCTGGAAGTTAGAAAGGGGAGAAAAACGTTGGGGTGAACTCTCCTGGGCCCCATGAGGAAGTGTTTGTTAGTAGGGGAAAGCAATGGTCAGGATGTTAGTGCATGTTGCCGGAGCACAGATAGGTGTGTTCCAAAATACGGATCTGCCAAGGGCTTTCTTAAAGAGCGAGTTTAGTCCTTGACACCCCAGTCCTCCTGACTGATCCTATTGCAGGTCGAGTGTCAGAGTGAAAGGAACCTGGAGCCAGGAAATGCGTCAGAGACGCTGGCATGGAGAGCCGGCTGACCCAGACAAGGCCCGCTGCCAGCAGGTAGCCTAGCGTGGCTAGCTAAAAAGCCCTGCGTGTGCTGGGCCCATGTCAGCATGCAGCCTGAGGCAGGATGGTGAATTGTCTTGATCTCCATCTGCATTAACATGTGCAATAAAAATCACGCACCTCCCTTTAAGTCCACCTGAGGCTTTTATCTCTTCAGACCCAGGAATTTTAAATTGACCTGAGACTTCTGTCCCTTCAGACCCAGAAGCCTGCTGTTTGCTTTACAGTCACCTGCTGCTACCTCAGGTGACCCTTTGTTCCTGCCCAACGACACAGCAGAGCCCAGGACAGATTCCCTCTATCTGTGACCTTCAGGCTTCTCACCTCCTTGCCAAGCCAGTGCCCAGATGGCAGTAGCACCTGCCATTCCAGGCTAATTCTGGTTGTGTTCCTAACTGCTTCAGAAATAAACATGCCTTGGATCCGACGCAGGATTTTAAATGGAAAAGGGCTGCTTTGGGAACAATGCTCCCAGGGAGGTGCGACAGCCCACCACCCCAAGCCCTTCCCACAGCCAGCTGGCACTTAGCGGAGTCCCAAAAAAGCTTGTGGCTACTGCAGGCTGTGCCTTACCCTGTGCTCTTTTAGGAACTCAGGGGTGAGCGTCCATGGTGCGTTCCTCACCACCTCGTCCACGTAGCGGCAGTGCTGTACCGCATCGTACCGCTCATTTTCGTTCATCACCGTGAAGCCCTTGAAGTTGTGGGTCAGCTCGTCACTGCACACTGTGGAGAGGGGCGCGTTGCCGGGAAGGTTAGCTAAACACACTGCCCTCATCCCAGAGCCCACTGCCTGCCTCTCTGCACCCTGACACAGCTGGTGCTTGCATCCCACCAGGCACAGCTGGCACAGCCTGAGCGGCACTGGAGGCAATGGTGAATCAGGAGGCGTATCCAGGTCTCCTCTCCAAACAACACAGCTTTGGTGTGGGAAGGAGGGACAGTTGGAGGGGACAGAAGACAGTAAGGAGGCAAAAGGGCTTTTCCAACCAATTCCACTGGCTCACTGGGAGGAACTGGCCCTCTAACTCACTAGGATCTCTATGCCAAACCCTCAGAAGAGTCTGGCAGTAATCAATACACAAGTCTAAAAATAGAGCTAACAGCTAAGAAGCTGGTCTCACTACCAGGTTGATTCAGCTGTGCCAAAATAAACCAACCTCTCTTTGTAAGCTCTGCACACAGCTTTGAGAAGGAATGAGTCATCTTCAGTAGAGATGCACTGATATATTGGTTGCATATCGGATCAGCACCAATAAAAGGGAAATTTACTTTATTCGCTACCGGCTTTTTTGGCCACTGGAGCTGATGATGCTCTCCAATAAATATAATTAATTATGCCTTCTGACCGGGGCCCCCAGACGCCTGGTTTCCCTCTCCCGCATGGGGCCAGGGCACCTAGAAGCTTGGGTTCCCTTGGGAAACAGCAGGTTTCCCCTTGCAGGTGGGCAACATTCTAGCCTGCAAGGGGTCCTGCTTGGGGTTGCTGGAAGCGAGTCGCAGAGGGCACCATGTGCATGTGCACAGCCTCACGTGTGCAGGCGGCCAAGAAAACAGCCAGGCAGCATGGAGAACAGATCCCTGCAGGTAAGTCTACAAGACGGGAAGGGATGTGGGGGAGGAAAGGGGTGTGCGTGTGTGCAGGGGGCAGATTGAGGCCCCCATGGTAAGGGAGGGAGTGGGCAAGGGGCAGGATGTGCTACCCAGTCAGGGTGGTGCTTGGGACCTGAGGCCAGGGCAGGGAGTGGGACAGAGCCACGGGCAGCTTGTCCAGAGGGTGCAGGGGGGGCGTTATATAAACCAAAAAAGAAAAAGGTTTATTTATGTCAGTACATTTTAAAGTGCTGGCATAAATAAACCTTTTTGTTTTTGTTTGACGTACTCCAGCAGCCTCCAGTGTCACATGTAACCAAATCAGTTATCAGATCAGTATTGGCTAACATGGCTGGTTAATAGTTGGCTATCGCTATCAGCTAAGAAAATCTTTAGTGGTGCACTCCTACTCTTCAGTGATCAGATCTTGAAGTAACCCACATATTGCCACCCCCCGGCCACAGACCAATTACTTGTACACCTACTAAACATCCCTCCGATCTCATCCGTCCCCAGCAGCCCCACAACAGAGCTGCATCCAACATTCTACTAGGATTCAAGTCAATGCAGATTTCAAACCCAAATGACAAATGCTTCACTTCTTGGGATGAACAGGCAACTTTTGAAACATGTGGGTGTGCAATCTGCCAGACAGCAAGGTGGCTCAACTGTGGTCTGCTTTATGTATCTGAGTAATTATTCTATAGATGCCACTTGAATATATTCTGTGGCTTTTAAGCCCACATACGCATTCACTTCCTACCATCGATTACAACAAAAAACCCTACAAAAAAAGTGTAAGAATGCTATGGTAAGGGCAGCCCTCGACTGACACCAAAAAAATGGAAAAGAAACCCCCCTGAACAAAGAATGTCCTGTAGGACGTTTGCTAAGATTTGTATAGGTGTCTTCAGCTTTAAGAAGCTGGTACGTGGTTCAAAAGATGAGCCAGTGGTCTTACCAGCTCAGATGTGCTAGTGCTGAAGGACCAACAGACTGACTTGAGGTTACTTCTAGATGGAAAAACTTATGAGGCTGTTGGATTCCTGCCCTGTGGTGGTTAACCAGGAGAAAGGAGGATCACAGGCCCCTTTGGCAGGTATGGCTGTGTTCATGGCTGGGAGCCAGGGGCCAATGCCACAGCAGCAAGCCAGAAGCAATGGCTTCTTTTCCTTCTGAAGTGGTGGCCTGGCTGGGGCCTCCTGCTGGAAGTCCCCATTGGTGCTCCCTACTGGTGGAGACTCCCATTCTGAAGTCCTTGGCACCACCCAAGGAGGCTGGATCGGGTTAAGAGCATGCTCGCTAGACAAATTCTGGGCTCCAAGTGCAGTTAGTTTCCAAGTGGGCCAGTCACCAGCTATCTAAGACACCTCAGATGATAGATCAGGCAGCCCACGGACATCTCATCTACCCCAATCAACTTAGACTGAATCTCAGAAAAAAAACTTCTTCACCGTTAGAACAGTGATGCAGTGGAATAGATGCCTAAGAAAGTTGTGGACTCTCCATTGCTGGAGGTGCTCAAGAGGCTGGACAGCCACTGGTCAGGGATGACCTAGGTGTAGCAATGCCTATGTTCTACCATGGGGATTTTCTAAGCTTCTGGACTTTGCTGGTTGCCCCCTCCCCACCTTTCTGCTACACACGTCAAGGTTTTTGCCTTCCTCAGGGGCACTACGTTTTGGCTGCAGCCCAGGCTGGTGATTTTGCCTAGGCTGCACCAGTGCTGCTGCTGGGACTTAAAGTTGGAGGTTCCTGGCTAGGGAGTCTTCCCACTCTGCTCAGGGTTGGAGTGATCACCATATTTGGGGTCAGGAAGGAATTTCACCCAACAGTCAGACTGGTTTTGGGGAGGCAGGGGGGCTTCCTCTGTAGTGGGGGGCACAGCCTCTACCTGGAGCTTCTTAAGCATATATTAACAACCTTTCATAGAAGCAGGACACTAGCTGCTGTGGTCCCCCTGCTTTACCTGTGGCAGGTTTGGGTGTCATATCTTGCGTTGTATCAGAGTTGACAGTAGTTTTACTAAGAGGTTGGACAATGGATTTGTACACAATGATTTGGACAGGGCCGATCCTGCCTCAGGCAGGGGGGTTGGATTAGATGTGACCTCTGGAGGTCCCTTCCAGCTCCATTCCTCTATTCA